GGATATTTGTTTATGTATTGGAATTTTAGTTTATAAATTGAAATTTTTGGATATGACTTGAACTTTCGTGGATATGAGTTGAACCTTAGGATATTACTTTATGTATTGAAATTTTAGTTTATAAATTAAAATTTTAGGATATGACTTGAACTTTTGTGGATATGTGTTGAACCATTAGGATATGAATTGAATCTTTAGGATATGAATTGTAATTTTAGTTTATAAATTGAAATTTTAGGATATGACTTGAACTTTTGTGGATATGTGTTGAACCATTAGGATATGAATTGAATCTTTAGGATATGAATTGTAATTTTAGTTTATAAATTGAAATTTTAGGATATGACTTGAACTTTTGTGGATATGAGTTGAACCTTTAGGATATGAATTGAAATTTTTGTATATGAATTGAACTTTTAGGATATGAATTAAAATTTTTGTGTATGAATTGAACTTTTAGGATATAAATTGAGCCTTTAGGATATGAATTGAACTTTTGTGGATATGAATTGAAATTTAGGATTGCGGGAGGATTTTGTAGAAGGGGTTGATGACTTTATTAGACATGCAATGCAACTTGCACCAAGAATAACTTAGACACAGTACCTGGCATAGTGTGCCTTTAATTGTTTCACTGTTTGAAACACATGTCATTGCCTTCTCATCATCATTGTCGCTAATGAGAACAACAATTGATCAAAGACACACCTTATCGGGTACTGTATCCAAGTTACTCTCTGTATCTAAGTTCATCCCGAGTAATAGTACCACTAGGATAATCACCAAAGCCACCAGATAACTTTATGATGCCAATGAAGTAAGATAAGTTATTCAATGAGACTCGTATTGTAAAGAAGAAGAAAGAGACTGGTCTAGAAAGGTGGGTCGAGGGTATAGAACCAGTTTTCGAATGGGCTTGTAATAAGCGTTAACTTAGTTTTGTTAGCTTAATGTGTTAGTTCTATTGAACTTTATACTTTGTTGCTTTTTATTGTTGGTGTTGTTGTTGTTGTTGTTTATTGTTGTTGTTGTTGTTGGCATAAAATGCATGTTTAGGATTTTTGGTAAGCTGGCAGGTGGTGTAGCTGCCAAAACAGGCATTTTCTGGCAAAAATATACCAAGAAAAGCGACCAACTTTGGTCGCTAATTGGTCGTTTTTCCCTTAAAAAATAATTTTCTGGGCAATAGCGACCAACCTTGGTCGCTATTTAACCCAGATTTCTCAAAAGCGACCAACTTTGGTCGCTATTCTATTTAAAAAATAATAATTTCTGGAAATATAGCGACCAAAGTTGGTCACTTATAATTAAAAAAAATTATTTCTTGAAGTTAGCGACCATATTTTAAAAAAAATAAAAATAAATAAATAAAAAAGCGACCAATCTTGGTCTCTATTTTCCAGATTTTAAAATATAATATTTGGATTAGAGACCAAAGTTGGTCGCTTTTTTATGATTAATAATAAATAAATAAATAACGTATTTTACATTTAGAGACCAACTTTGGTCGCCAAAATTATATTATTAAAATAATAAAGCGACCAAAGTTGGTCGCTATAGTCTTTACCCAGAATATTTGGTCCTTTTACCTTAGAGACCATAGTTGGTCGCTAATTAGCGACCAACTTTGGTCCCTAAAATAAAGGGACCAACAATATTGCGACCAGACATGTTTGGTCATTTTTTACCGGATTTCTAGTAGTGTTATTAGCAGGTTGGTGGAATAGCGAGAATCGAAAAAAGAATCTGCACATGGTATTTATTGATCTGGAGAAAGCATATGACAAAGTTCCTAAGGAGGTTCTATGGAAATACCTGAAGGCAAAAGGTGTGCCGGTTGCTTACATTAGGGTGATTAAGGACATGTATGATGAAGCTAAAACTAGGTTAGGGCAGTGGGAGGCAACTCAGAGCACTTTCCGATTGTTATGGGGTTACACCAAGGGTCTGTGCTCATCCCATTCCTATTTGCTCTGGTGATAGATGCACTGACACACTATATTCAAGGGGAGGTGCCATGGTATATGTTATTTGCTGACGACATAATTCTGAATGATGAGACGCGAGGTGACGTCAATGAGAGGCTAGAGGTTTGGAGACAGGCCCTTGAGTATAAGGGTTTCAAGTTGACCAGGACTAAGATGGAATACATAGAGTGCAAGTTCAGCGTCGAGCCGATTAATTGGAGCATAGTCGGATTATATTGTCGGTTCTACAATTTCCAACACCACACGGTATAATATAACTTTGCTCATAAAAATTAAAGCATATGGAAAAAAATCATCTAGTATTCTTTGTTTATAGTGAAATTTTAATCATGATCTCCAAAGTTTGTACCCGTTTTATAGTATGAGCTCTAAAATTTATATTCACTCTGTTGATTACTAGATCACACCTTTAAATACTTTAAAATATTTTTTTCTCTTTTGTTTCGGGATATTGTCACATAAAGGACCTTTATCGGTTAAGGTTAAAGCTTTGATTTTTTACATGACTTTCAACCCTCCCACTTCTAGAAAAGAAAAAAAAAATTAAAAAGAAGAAATTGTGCCAAAAGAAATGAATTAGAGAAAATAAGCCACCAAGTTTAAGAAGAAAAATAGATTTTGTTTTTTGACATTTGAATTTTAAATAAATTATTATATTTTGCATATAGAATTACGAATAATAGAAAATAAAACATTTAAATTAAATTATTTATAAATATAAAGAAATATAATTTTTCTGAAATAAACTAAAAAAGAAATAATGTCATGTGAAATGAAATAGGTGAAAAAAATATGATTTATCGTAATTAAGTTACAAATATTTATAAAGCTACATGAAATCAGGATCGGCTCTAATGTTAAAGATAATAAGGCTTGTGCCTTACGCCACCAAATTTGGGAGGCCCCATTTTTCTAAATATAATAGGTTTATAGGTATTTTAAAAAAGAATATTTAGTACTTCGTACATAAGTAGACTGTCTCGTATAAAAGGAAAGAATTTTTTAGCTATATAAATAAAGTAACTATTTAACTTACTTAACATTAGGTAGTATGAATATTTAGAGTGTGATTTGACAATAAAAAATAGTACAAGTAGAAAATACTAAGCTAATCTATACACCCAATCAAATAAAAAAATTTCTTTTCTAAATGCTTATATTGCTTATAGAATAATATTAACCGTCGCGGTAACAGTTGTCTTAGCAAAAGAAGTTTTTCAAAATTAAATTAAAATTAATAAAATTTTAACAAAAATTAATAATGTCTTAAGAAAGATTAAATGAATTGGTTATATTAGTTGATTAATAAATTAATTAATAAAATATTATTAATAAAATTGATTAATGCAACCATAACAGTGTCAAAGAAGTAGAATAGCCAAATCAACCCAAAACTCAACGAATCAAAACATGACAAGATTATGCTTCTTGGATGGAACCACAATTCGCTCTCCTCCCATAAATCTTCTCCATCCTTACACGAGAAGCAAAACACAAACGTATAAATTGTCTTCTTTCTCCTTAACTAACCATACGAGCTTAGACTGTTAGCTCAAACCCCCTTTTCTCCAATTTTCTCACATACCCATTTCCTTAAACGTATAAGTTTAAGTATTTCAAACTCCTTTTCAGCAATTTACTCAAGAAACCTTTTTTTCCCTTGCTGTTTTAGCCTTTCTTTATTAGTGTAATCTTGTTGAGTATATTAAGGAAACCTTTTTGGGTGTTGAAGTTTCTGTTCTTGGAAAATTCAGATGAGAATTAAATTCCAGAATAAAGCTTTAGAAATAATATTGGGATCATCATGTACAGTGCTAATTTGACTGGTTTTATATTGGCTGTGGTGTCTAGCGCGTTTATTGGATCAAGTTTCATTATCAAAAAGAAGGGTCTTCAGAAGGCCGGCTCCTCTGGTACTCGGGCCAGTGAGTAATCCATTTTCTTGACATTAAAGTATTTTTAGGTCTAATTGTCGAGCAATTTATTGCTTTTTGTTCAGTTTGAACTATGCCAATGCTTCTTGTGGTGGATTCCTGGAGCTTTAGTTTTGTTTGAGGAGATAGTTTGCTAAAGTTGTTTGGTATACTCAGTTCTCTCTCTCTCTCTCTCTCTCTCTCTCTCTCTCTCTCTGTGTGTGTGTGTGTGTGTGTGTGTGTGTGTGTGTGTGTGTGCGCGCGCGTGTGAGTGAGTGTATTACTTCCAGCTGAGGTTAGGAAGGTTACCTTCATTAAAATCATATAGAGGGTAGTTGTCACAAAATGCCTACAATCTCTCAACTATGCAGATTAGCTATTAGCTAAGAACATAACACAATTGAAGTAAATGATTTATGTAGATGATGTCAGCTAACTAGGACTAAGGTTGAGAATTTCTAATTTTTGAAAACCCTAAGTTTCTTAAATAATAAGTAATCTGTAAGTTTCTTAAATAATAAGTAATCTGTATTGTTGAAATGAAATGGGCCCAAATATATAAAATGGATATAGAGTATTCACTATAGAGGCCTCATATAGCTGACACCAACTATTGTAGGATTGAGTCAACGTTTGTCGATGGATTGACTGATTTTTCTAACCTTCTTACTGCATTACCATTGGCCAAGAGGCAGATTGATCAAAGTTTACAGGTATTAGATGTTGTTCTAGACTGATGGAACGGGAGATTATTCTTGGTGGCTATATTGTTGTTTGTGGCAACAGGCTGATGATGTTGAGGGGTTCTTTATGCAGGCACAGTGGTACCTGCTTGTCAGATGTCCTCATTTTAGTTTTGTGGGTGAATCATATGTGTTGCACCCAATGCTATAGGTATTCGACTGTAAAATAAGATCAGTAGGGTAATGCTTGCAGCAAGTGTAGAGTTACGGTGAGTATCACTGTTACATAATGACTGCTTATTCAAGGTGCTGGATCTTTTCAAAGCAGTTATCTGAGTGGGAAAAAAACACACTTTTTCTGAAAAAACAAGGAATAGAATTGGCATATTTGCACATATCATTTAAGCAAGTAGTCTCTAAATGGACTTAGATAAGTATTTAAAAAAGGGTTCATCTACTTCAGAACTCTCGCCTTTCAGCTGCTTTTGAGTATTGGTGGAGGTTATCTATGACTAATGACAATGCTTTAGAAATTGGAGTGGCTCAAGCAGCACCTGTTTAAACTTAGCACCTGTAATACTTGGATTGTGCTTGTGGAATGGGGTCAACAATGTAACTCTTCGATGAGTGTCTTTTTCCCATTATGCTTGTGGTCCATTAAATGGTTGTTCTTGGTCTTCCGAATTATATGATCTGTCATCTTCTAATATAGGCAGACTGCTCCAGTAGGAAGTACTACTTATGTATATTATGGAACAAGAAATGAGCTAAAGGCATAATATGTGAATCTTGACTTTAAGAGCTGAAAATGATCAGTGTGATGGGTGTAATAGATCATACTTCACTGTAACAAGCTGTTTTTCCTTAAAGCTGTAATTTATCTGCTAGTTTCCACATTACAAATAGATACATCATGCACATCATTTGTAAAATTTATACATGGAAGATGCTTGTTCGTATCAACATTAAATAGAAGTTAATTTAAAAGCTGATGATTTCAAATCTTCTGTTGCTCGGTCTATTTGAGAATGAGATGTTTGTTTCTTGCTGAAGGCTCGGGCGGATATGGTTATCTACGTGAGCCTCTTTGGTGGATCGGGATGATTATTAGTGAGTCTTGAATTACTCCTTGTTTTCAGAGAATATGTCCTGAATTTGTCATACTAATATTGTGCGCAACATGCACCATAATCCTTGCAGTGATTGCTGGAGAATTTGCAAATTTCGTGGCTTATATTTATGCGCCAGCAGTTCTTGTGACACCACTTGGAGCTTTAAGTATAATTGTTAGGTAAATCTGGGACTTGACTTCATTATTTTCTGGACAATTGCTTATTCGATCTTCTTCCATATAATTTGGTGCTTTGCTGCAGTGCTGTTCTAGCACATTTCTTACTGAAGGAAAAGTTGAAGAAACTGGGAGTATTAGGATGTGTTTTATGTATAGTAGGCTCTACTGTCATAGTTCTTCATGCACCTGGTGAACATGATCTTAATTCAGTAGATGAAATATGGGCATTAGCTACACAACCAGGTAAGCATGTGCTGTATTTTCTTTGCTGATGTCTAGTTCTTTTTAATGTTGATGTTTCACTCTTTGTTTTGCAGCTTTTCTTTTGTACACTGCCTCAGCAGTTGCAATAACATTGGTACTAGTTCTGTATTGTGAGCCTCGCTATGGTCAGACAAATATAATGGTCTATATAGGTGTTTGCTCCATCTTTGGGTCCTTAACGGTTAGTGTCTCCATTATACTGTTCTAGATTTCTACAGACTCTGTACTTCTACTCTGGGCATTAAGAAAGAGAACCCTTTTAAAAAAAATTAAGAAATGGAAGGAACATCTGTCCACAACTGTGTTTTTGTTTGCAGGGCTGTGTTGGCTGAGTTAACCTTGTTGCTAAAATGTCAGTTTGAAGCTAGACGTCTTACCTCTTAAACTTAAGTTTATCCAGATTATGCCTTTTCTCCTTGGTGTTGGAATACTATAGTTTGGCCACTTGGTTTAGAATAAAGTCTACTTGTAAGTTAGAGATAATATTATTCTTTTGTTAGAGATAAGTTTAATCAGTCGCAGCTTGTTAATTCGAGGTAGAGTTAGTCTTAAGAGTTTTAACCTGCTCATAATTAACTATCTTATGAATAGTACTTTCATGCATTTTGTTTAAGAGACTTGATAACTAACACTTTATGAACTGATCCCTTTCTTATTCTTCTAACTCATTTCTCCCATTTCCCTCTATTCTTCTCCCCTTTCTGTTCCTCCCTTTTGGTGCCAATAGCCCAGTCAATTCGCCATGTTTCAAATCCGCCAGTGAGATACACACGAAATACATGTAGGATCAACCATTATACTTGCCAACCATTGATGAAATGCTTGGATTAACCAACTATCAATGTTGGCATTAGATTGCACTTCTCATTTCTAGTCCAGATTTTTAGGTAAAATATGCATTCTCCTACCCTCCACGAAGAGCATACTCTTCAATATTCAACCTACATTTCTTCATCATTCAAATGCCATAGTAAGGCATGATTTTCGATCTTTTCATCTCTCTTGAAAGTTGGAAACATTAATTTCGTAAACTCAATCCACTCTGAGTTGGTTGTTTGCAACAAAATCTTACTCAATGGAAGGATCATCCCCTGATACTTCCAGCAAGATATGTTCTATTTCGTAAATTTGGGTCTTTTGGAGTGGTACCAACTGCTCACTCGTTTTGAATTCGAGTATTCTTCAACCAGAGGAAAATGATGAAACTCAATATAAAGATTGCAATATCATTATCTTCTATGTTTAGTTATTTTTTTAATGTTCAAAACAGAATAAAGATATCCTTATTATTTATGAAGCTTAGCTCTTTATGGTCTGAATTATCTCTATCTAATAGTCGTATCTATTAGTTAGTGCTAATCATATCTTTTAGTTTTATCTACTCTTAACTTGTTTGTTTGAGATAGAATTAGTTTAAATATCTTTAAACAAATATTGAATACACTTCACTTGATGAGTAACAATTTATGATTGATTCCTCTCTTGTTCTTCTCTCATTTCTCTTACTTCTTCTGTCCTTCTCCCTTCTCCTTTCTGGTGCTAAATCAGGTGGTCTATTTAAAATGGAGAGAAAAGGCATGACATAATAACAACAGGGTCCAGTCCACATCATCGCAATTTACCTATATTTAAGTATTTATTATTCATTGAGCTAATATTGCAGCCCCCCTATGCAAAACTGTGTAACTTAGATAGAATGCTTGCATCTCCAATGAAACTGGATAAAATTTATCCTCATGAAAAGTAAAGAAAATATAGGTTTAACATTACTGATCCTTCTCAGTTTCTCAGAAGTTCAATTGATAAAAATTGCATGCAGCATTCATTTTAAGCTCGTTTATTGCTCTATTGTAGGTTATGAGCATTAAAGCTATCGGTATAGCAATAAAGCTTACATTGGAGGGTTCAAGCCAAGTTGCACATCTTCAAACTTGGGTGTTTGTGATGGTTGCTGTTACATGTATAATTACTCAACTAAATTACTTAAATAAGGTAGACTTCTACATTCCCTTGTATTATCTAATTGTAGTTTAAGCATGAGAGTACGGTTTTGATTGAAAACAGTAATGGATTGACACTCATTGAAGTTGTTCAAATGCATGGGCTAATATTTACGAGGATTACTGTGGAAAGTACATGGCATTGCATTTCGGGCTAAGCTTGGCTTGGACTTGTAACATAAAATGCCTGAATTTGGCTCTTGCAGGCATTGGACACATTTAACACAGCCGTGGTTTCTCCAATATATTATGCCATGTTCACATCACTTACAATTTTAGCCAGTGCCATAATGTTTAAGGTATTTCTGAAAGTGAATGTTTGGTATGCATGGGGAAAATCGCTCGTTTTTGTTTCTAATATCTTTCTCTTTTTCGTGATGTTTCAG